ATATTTCAGAAAAATATGTTATGTTTATATATTAAATATATTTATATATAATATAAATTATATGAATATAAACATATACATGTAAATACATGTAAATATTTTCTAAATATATACTAAATATATATAATGTATGTGTGTGTCTTTATATAACTTAATAAACATACACAGTACACACACATTATGTACACAAAAACGTTTATTTTGGATGTGATTAATCGTGATTAATCATTGCCCAGCGCTAATTATAAATAACGATATTTTCATAATATATTTTAATAACAAATCTGCAAATATGAAGTAAATAAATAAATTATAAACATAATTCTTAAAATATAAATAATAAATATTATTATTATTATTATTATTAAATATAATTTTTCCTCACATAGTATATATTGGTCTATGAAAATATACAGAAGCGCATGCCAATTTAGAGAGGCTTTTATATTTTTTTAAGATGTCCCTCACAAGAAGATTCTGATATTTGTGGGTCCTATCATAAAGACATCTGAAAAGCCCTGCTGCAGTTTACACGCAGGTGTTCATTAGTGCACACTGCAGATTACAGGTGTAATGAATGCTACGATTGCTCACAGGGGATCCAGGAGGCCCTTCAGGTCCAGGGAAGCCAGTCTCTCCCACAGGCCCTCGTTCTCCCTGTGTGGAAAGACAAAAGAGGGAAAATGGGCCATCATCATTCTGTTGCCAAAACCTGCCGTATGATTGACAGCTGATAACAAGCAACAAAGCAAATCTCACCGGCTCTCCAGGGATCCCTGGCTCACCACGCGGAGCAGGCTTTCCCTATCATTTACAGAAACAACAAGGAGAAAGAGTTAGACCTCAAACCTGGTGTCCATCTAAACCACATGTAGGCTGAGAACATGGCTAAAACATCCACTACTTTTATCTAAAAATTCATACATGATATGAAATCTTTCTCTTGTGACAGACTGCTAAACCGTCACAGCTTCAATGTAAGAAAATCCCGTAGGAACTGTGGCATTAAATATGCTTATCCAACACAACTAAAAATAAGATATCAGTTATTTTACAGTCCAGTATTGTACATGTCAGAGACAGAAGTATATCTTCTAGCTTATAATATAGGGTTGAACTTTATTCTAAATAAAATTAAACACTAGAAAATAAACACCGTAAAATACATGAAACACTAGAAAATAAATTACTATAAAATAGTAAATAAATAAAGAATAAAATGTATAAAAAATACTTCAAATGCTACAAGCGAATTTTGGCATCACAAAATTATAATGTATAGAATGGAAATTGGACATTTATTTTGAGATTTGCTAAAGCTGACATTTAATAGTATTATTAAATTATTAGTATTTAATTATATTTATTGAATAATTAATATAAAACTCAATATAAAAATATGGGAAACAAGCATGAACAATATTCAACATTGGTCGATGGGTTAAACTTTAATTTTACAATAAAACATTTACCACCTTTAGCTATGCAAGTTATCTTAATGTATTCTGCTTATTTTTAATCATATTTTCACTTATTCACAAAAACTTCAAACCATAATTGACGCACACCCAACTGAAAATCCTTATTCTATGAGAAGGATGGCACTTCTTGAATTTACTTAACAAAATAGTGTTTTCATGAACATTTTTGCCATTAATATTGTGAAAACTGACTATAGTGAATTCTGAAGGGGTTGCAGGCTGTGTATTGTGCCATTTACTTATTAACTATCTTATTGCTTGTAGCTTATTTCCTAAATAATAAATAGTTGTATGTGTAGTACAGTGATTTGAAAGCAGGAAAATAACAACAGAATAACTTACAGTAGGACCAGGAACACCAGGTGGACCAGGTAGGCCAGGATCACCCTTCAAACACACAAACACACACATGTAAGACGACGAATCTACTGCAAAACCGCTTGAGAACATGTCAGAAAAACACAATGATTGTTTTTCTTTCTGTTCTCAAAACCAACTGTGCTTGACAAGTCCTCCAAAATCATTCTTTGAGTATCTCTGTGCGTGTGTGTGAGAGCTGCTCTCTTTCCTCCATATGCGCTCTGCTGGCTTTAGGAATTAATGAGCTGCTTTTAAGTTTTGGGGCACAGCATGCAAATAAACAGCTTGAGATCAGGCAGCCTCGTGGCTGTTGTGGAGTCGGCGAGCGCGCAAAATGCTGCGACTACATCTTGACAAGTCCTTTCTGGGAAGAGTGGGCGAGTTTGATGCTGCTCATAGTAGGAAGCTGCTCTGGCAGACAGACGAAATAGAGTCTCCATGCACCAGCGCTCTGATACGTGCAGTCGGGGGGGTCTGGACCATTCTGTTGGCTCGATTTAATGAAGCCTATTATTTCTACCCTCTCTAGTATTCTCGTATTCATGGTCTTTCTCTTGAATTCTCGAGTGCTTTGACTAAGCATTGCGGTGAAATTAGAATACTAACAATGTTTGAATCAATTATGAATGTCTGTGCACTATCCTCCATCTCTCTGTCTGTCAAACACACACACACACACACACACACACACCAAAACTGCAATGTCATGTCAAATCGTGAAGGTACAGAGTGGAACGGCTGGTTGAGCTGTTGAAAGCTGTGTGTAATCTGGGACACTCAGACAGGGCGAGAGAGCGTCCAGTGACACGATTCATTCAAATGCGCTTACCTTAGCACCCGGCAGCCCCTCTAGACCTGGTAATCCCATCAGCCCTGGCTCACCCTGGAATAAAGGAAACACATTCCAGCTCAGCACGGACACCTTCATGCGTGAAAGTCTGTGTGGGGAGTGACAAAGTAAAAGTGACAACGCAACTAACTTCACTACATTTTTTCTGAAAACTAATAACCTTTTTTTCTCTAATGAAAATTGAAGAATTTTGGATTGGAAGTCACTATTGGGTGTCAAGTTGTTTAAAGAGAAATGCACAAATGGTGATTTTGTGTAAAAGACTTTCAAACTGTGTCAATATTGGCACAATTACAAAAAAAATAATAACAAAAACAATTAAAAACACTATTTTAGCCCTCAGGACTCTTGGAAAAGTAATGAAAATGGTTCATCACAGTGTAATTTTCAACATCACAAATGTTGTATTTATGTTTAATAGCATTACAATTTAGAATAAAATGAATTGTTTTACTAAAGCTAATTTAATATCATTTTTTTTGTATTCTAAATATACACAAATAATATATATATATATACACATGTATAGATACCATATATATATATATATATATATATATATATATATA